AAAATGAAGAAGTTTAGGAAAATTAATTTAATTAAGATATATGTATGAGAATTTTATGATAAAAGCAAAGAAATATTTGATATAATTAATGGATAAAAAATGAGTGAGATATGGAGGATTTTTGCAAAAATGAAGGAAAAAAAAGGCTGAGAAATGAAGGAGGCATTCAGAGAGACATCATTCGCATAAAAGGAATTGCAGAAGGAAGAAAATGTAGGAGAATCATAACTCATCACCGACTAATGAAAGCATGAAAATGTATATCTGAAGTGTGCTTAACCATTGACATTTGTGGAATTATGGGTTTAAGAGTTTTATTTTTCTACAAGTAATTTCATAAGTGTTCATTTTATTCATGTTGTGCAAATTTTATGGTGATTGAAAGTTGATGTTAAATGGAGAAGAATTAGAAAAAGGATTCAAATGCAAGGAGCAAATTGCAAAGATCAGAAATATGTTAATCAACTTGTGCGGAATCCAGGAGTCAGGGACCAAGACTGTTATTCTGCCATTAACCAAAATTGTACAAAAGGCCAAAAACCCGACACGGAGGAAGCAGTTGACGCTCCACTCAAAGTGCCGGCACCTTGTAAAGAGTGTCGACCCCTTGCGCGTTAATTCAGCCAAATCATATCTGTTCTAATTATTGTGATATAGGCCCCACAGCCATTCTAATTAGGGTTTTTAGGATTCTATAAATACCCATTCAAGTTATTTTAGAAGGGGGTTCCAAACTTGGAGAGGCGGCTACCAGACTTCTATTTTCTTCTTCAAAACTAGAGAATTATATCAAAGGGCAACTAAACTTTAAACAAGACTAGAAAGGATCTTAATTGAAAAGTTTGACTTATTATTTTATTTTGATTTCTTCATAGATTTTATTATTTAATTTTATTTTTGAGAGATTGTTAATTATTTTCAGATCTAAAAACCCTGAAAATTATATTTATCAAATTTCATATAAGATTAATCATGCTCTTTTTATGTGTAATTTGTTAGAATATAATTGATTGATAGATTTGTTTTACGGGTTGATCCTTTACTGCAGTATTGTCGATTAGATATATTGTCGCTCTTGGATAACTCGTAAGGATAGATCATTTTGTTCTTCATTGAAATTAATTTTTCTTAGAATAAATACATTAGTCATTATTATTGGTTTTCAAAGTTGAAACTTCCGATTGTTTGTTTGGGATGTGAAACATGCAATTGAGTAATAAATAGGAATCAAAATTTATAACAGTTAAACAAATCAATTAAGTGAAACCTGAAGTTTTGTTCATCATAATATTGTTTTTAATCTTTTA